AAATCAACAGTGGATTAACAAAAGCATATGTCATAAAAACAGATAAAAAGACTCCACTGACCTCAAAAAATTTAATTTACCTCAGGAAGACCATCTTTTAATGCATGAATTGTTGTAGTATCATACGGACACGTTACCTGCTGCGCTTTCTCGTCAATAAGAGTGGGTCTATGGAGAGCAGATAGCCTTGCCATGGTGCACAAGCCTATTACAGCCATTTTACGATCATGAACACCTTCCAAGCAGTGTGCTAATGATAGAAGCTCGTTGACCACGTAATTCAATGTATTAGTTCCGTGAGGTTGCAATTGAGGTAACAGGTTCACAAACATATCTGTATCATAATACAAACCAGCTATCACTACCTGAAACGCTCACTTTTGCCTTATATCATTTAAGCAGTACATACAAATTATTAACTAAAACAAAGATTTAACTAACCAAAAGAAGTGCGGGTTTCAAAGTTTTGCAGTCCTCAATCGGCTGGTGTAACCGGGTAAGAATTAACTGGATGAGATCTGGTACTAAATTGTTAATTTTACCCTGGAAATGCTTTCGTTACACTTGAAACTTCAAAAATTCAGAACTTAAGGTAAGAAGACTTGAACTTTTAAATTTGTTCCCGTCCTCTTTTCTACAAACAATAATCTAAAACATGCCTGACATTCCAGAATAAGGCACTCAAGCAGCTTAGCTGCATGTACCTGGTCATTTTCCTCCATATCTTCATTAAACATATTCACAGCAATTTCTACGAAAGCTCTGAGCCGCTCTGGACGGGCAAGAAAACCATCGGTATCAACCGTCAAATATGAATGCAGTACAGGCATCACATCTGCAAAGAAAAATAATTTTATATCACAGATTGGTAAAGGAATTTCAATACAACTCATTCTTAAATTTCTTTTTTTCATTCTTAAACCATTATGACCGTTTAAGAAATAGTAGATTGGTTTTGAGAGCTTCGTAGTAAGATCGCAAAACCAAAAAACTTAAAAAAATAAAGATTATTTGAAATGAGAAATTTCTATGCAGACTTATCAACAGATATATTCGGTATTTGATTTGTAATTCTATTGGTAGCGAATGAAAATGATTATGAATAATGACTGATACTTACCGACAAAAACTATCCCCTCCAGACTAATCGCCAATTTGTGAATATCGAAGAATATTTCCCACATTGGTTCACTAATAGAATATGTAATCACCGAATTTGCTAACGTTAAAACTTCTTCGTAATAATCTGTGAGGAATCAAAAACCATATTTAAAGATCTTGATGATGCAATAACTTCAAAAAATGCTCCAGTTTTCTTTTCATTATTCGTAGATCCTTTCCCTTCATTCCTCTTTCATTAGTAAATGTAACAATTAAGAATGTTTTTTACTACAATACTTGAAGCTTTTTTATCTGCTAACACAAAAATCTAGCAATACAAAATAATATGAGATTCTATCTGCTGCTTGTTCGCAGCTTTGAAAATTTAGAAAAGTAAAAGATTTGCTGATTTTTCAAAAGGAGAGAGCTACGGCTTTCAATATACAGTTAAAAAGGTAACCGATCTGCTCGCGGTCCAGAACAGACTTAATCACCCTACGCACTTGTTCTTCGATATGATAAAGTACATCTTGATTGTCTTCCACCATATCCAGCACAGACCCCAAGGTGGTCAAGATGCCCATCACAGTCACTGTGCGGTCATCTTCCTGATTTTCCGATAAGGAGAGTTGCAGGAAAATATTTGCCTAAACAGCGACATTTATTAGTTGAAATGTCAACTCAGAATCATTTTTTGCTTCCTTTTTATAAAAGACCACATCATATATCGTTCATAATATTTTATCCAGATTCTTTGAATTATTCAAAAAGCTTAAATTTGGATCATCCTATTACCTCTAACGCATTGTCGCTAAACTTATAATATAATGAAGAACATCTCTGCTAATAATTATTGAATTCAGCGACATGATTTCACATGTATTTCAATTAGAAATACAGAAAACTGGAATTATATCTACCGCTATTTGGATGACATTCTTGAATAACTTGCCAGTTCAGTTGCAACGTCAACGGCGATAGGTATAATATCTTCAACGAAATCCTCCAACAGTACTTCCATAACGCTTGTCATTTCTTCTATTTCAGCTCGAGCCACAAGTCGCAATACTTCAATGATAACCGCATGAACATGAGGCTTTAATACTGAACGATCTAAAACTTCTAATTTCATACATGCTAATTTTGCTTAAACTATGAAGAAAGAAAGTAAAACTTATTCCACACCAAGCATTTTTGCGAAGCAAGTGTTTACTTCACAAAAAATATTAGTCTTTCTACTTTTATAAGGAAATTAAGAAACTAACACTTTGTCTGCGCTTCCAACATGTGCTGTATAGCCATTGCAGCTTCCACTTTCACGGGTAATTCCTCGCCAGCATCAGATAGCCTTTTTACCAACGCTTCATAAATATGTGTTATTCGGCCACCAGATAACTTACCACTGGCAAATTGCTGTAAGTAATCTCCATGAGAGCTCGCAATCAATAAGACAGCGGAGAGAGTGAGTATAAAAGCATACCCTTATAGCCCAACATGCTCGGGAACGTATGAATCGTATTGGATGAGCAATTTTCGAGATTATAAATCTCTCCACTAATTCATCAACAGCATTACTATACTTCTGAAAAGTAATTACTTTTTTGTTTTGAGTTCATACGTTAAAATGGAATAAGAATACAGGTGATAATGCAACTATTGATTGATAGTGTTCCGAAAATTTTGACAAGCGAAGGAGTGAAACAAATAAACATGAAAAATACGACGAAACCTTGCTTTTCGTTAAAGCGACAAAAAGTTCTCCCAGAATGCGTAGGGCGCCTTCTTGGTCACGCGGATTTATATCCGGACTATTAAGTATGTTTAACGCAAACTCCAATATGGGCTGCAACATATCTTTCCTCTTCGCAAAACTAGTTAGCACGCTTGCTGCTGCAACTGACGGGTTGTGCAACTCATCGTATACATCTGCAACACCACATTCTATTTTTTTCTTGACTGACTTTGTAACAAATTATTTAATAAGAAAACAGTGAAATAATGTTCTGATTACTCTCATTTTTCTTGCTTCAAAATTTCAAAATTTTCACTTTAGCATTAAAGAAATATTTAAAAAATAAGTCTTGCTAAAATCTCTTGAGCTACTACATCTAGCTATGTAGCAAAACTTCTATTAAAACATTTTTGTCAAATAAGAGCAAAAAAATATACCATATTTCATGCGAACGAATTCTTCTGGTGAGTCGCTCCACAACTCTTCATCTTCATTGGAATATTTCAATAATGGAAAGAGCACGCTATGCACAATTCCCTAAAGACGCCCAAGCTACTTTTTGAAGATTTGAAATTTGTCTGTACATAAGACGAAGAACGCACAAGCGCTAAAGTTTATGCGCATCCTGAAGAATTTACAAGATCCATAAATACCTGAAAGTGAGGCTTGATAATTTTCCAAGTCCGTGACTGCGAAATGGCTATATCGATGTATTGCAACAGAGAATGTAGCACTCGAGATGAAACATAATTCCCATTTCTATAACCATCCAGAACTTGCAGACATGTGTTCAAAATTGGAATTGCAAAGTGCGTCATATAATTTTCCGCAAATTCTGAGTAATTCAGTTGCACTTGTCCTGGAGATCCATATCTGAAAAACAAGTACGCACACTAACTGCGCTATCAGAAAAGTTAATCGGATCAGAGCATTTACACATTTTTGGCATATTGTGCTTTAAAGTTAAATCTAAAAAACAAAAAAACAAAAATTTGATGCAGCTGCTTTAATTTGATCCATATTTAATAAAACACATAGCGATATTCAGCTGCATTTCTGTTCATCAAACGATAATTAGCACAATAATATCTTGAAAATCCACTGCTTTTATTTCTTTGATTTTAGACGTCAGATATTCAAATGAAAAAAACTGGAAGTGGGAGAAAAACATGAAAAATAACCTTTCAAAAATGCGCTCAACAATTGCAGAGGCCCACTTTTTACATTTCCACCAAACTGTTCTTTCACGGTCGTCTTCATCAACTGTGTTCACTTCTTCCGGTACAGGTCTTCCAACGATTAGTCGAAATTGCTCTAACCACTGCGACAAGGACTGACTTGTAAACATTTCCAAATTCAAGGAAAACTATAACGAAACGAGTGATCATAATAAACGGGATAAAATGCGCTTAAAAATATAAAATAACATCAAATCCACTGGTTAATATTCTTCAAACTTCAGTTACCTGAACAAGTCCATAAAATATCTTCAAGATAAGCTTTTGAAGCAAGCAAGATTCTTGGGAAGCATCGGGCATTAGAGTAATGAGACGTTCGAGAAGTATTGGCATCAATAGGCTCATTGTTTCTACTAATGGTTTTTTCTCTTTCACTCGGCGATATCTAAAGATTTTCTATCAATGCAGCTTAATTTTTCACAGAAATTTGCAGATAATTAGGCGGGTTTAAATATCAAAATTATAATTTCGCGCAGCTTCGCAGCGCTTAACAGATATTTCACTAAATAAGTACCATCAAATCCATATCATACTGCAGAAAGTTTAAACAACTTTGAACAAACAAGTGATATGTTACAATAAGACTTACTCATAAAGTTTAACTAAACGTCGTATAACCAAAAGGGCTCCTAGCCAAGATGGCCCGTCTACTGAATGTAGTAAAACTGCAACTTTTTGTGGCAAGTACGGCCAATTTTTTGGAAAATCATGCCTCGTGATTATTCCAACTGCAGTGCATAATTGAACTCTAAATGAACACCATATAATAAATCATTGACAATTTCTAAGTCCTCTGAAAATACACTAAATGAATAACAATTTCTACATATCCTATAAATAAACACCTGACAGCTTCGGATGAAGCTACAATGGCATCTATGATAAGCTCACGAATAAGGTGTTTATCTTGTTCAGGAAGACTGAATGACTGCTTGTCATCTTCATCCATGATCCAGTGCCTGAAATGCTCAGTCAAAATGATCAGTGCGCCTGACTAGTTTTCCGCCGAATTTCTACTAAAAAATGATGCAGTATTTCATTCTAAAGCAAAATAAATTTCTTAGAATCTCTATTCTGATAATAAAATATCCAATCAAGCTAAACTAAAATTTTAATTCAATACAGTTTGAGCGAATAAAGTCCATTGTAAGATTATCATGAAGATTTAGAACTCGAAAACTGTGTAATTAGTCAGCTATTCTTCTTAAGTCGTATTTTGTAATATACATTCTCTGAAATGAGCACGAAACTTCATAATCAAGAAAAAATTTTGGTTTAAATTACCAGTTTAATCAACGTCCTTCAACCCAATATGTCTCACATAAACAAATACCTGTTGATGACATTCTTTAAATAAATAACAGCTGCTTGCCGAGCAGAACAGTCGACCCCCTCATCCATAATGATATGAAGTAAAAGAGGAGTAAAGCCCATTAATCGAATATTCTGAAAAGGTATTATAGCATAAGTACTCCCAGATAACCGATTTTTTTTCTTCTAAGTATTTCAATTAAATGGTTTAAATCAAGCAATCACAATATTTCGAGATAACTCAGAACAAATGCTCACAATTTATTGTTAGGTTAAAAACCCTGAGTAATATAATTGGTACTGCCACGATTAATAATTGCTGAATTCTGTTTTTTACAATTTTTGAGTTTATACTACTCAATTCCCATTTTGAATATGCTATGGTATAGCGATGAAGAATATAAGTAGAGTGTTACTCGAGATATTACACCTGTTCGAGATATGCAGCTGCCTCTTTCTGATTTATTGAAGAAGTAGTAGCCTGCAGCGCCCTAATTAAATTTTCCCTTTCCATCTTTGGATTAGTTTCTGAAGCGTCTCCACGTAATCCTTTAAACATACAATCTGCAAACGCGTACTAGGACATGTCTCCTGCAAACATCTTAGTACGCATTACTTTACAAACATATAAATATGTAACGTTGCATTCTACGTAACAAAACGTATACACGAACTAAAATTCCTTTTTTGACTAGTTTTCCTTTCCAGAAAGACTGAGCCCAATAGTGATAATCCTTCCTTCAGCCATTCACAACAGAAATGTTTGCCTTTATAATGAGGCACTTATCAAAAGATTACGTGCTGTCACTGATTATGAACAGATGCTTGAAAAGCTTGAAATCTTTCAGCCGATTTCCATACATTTCTTTGTTTACCATCACAAAGAGTACACACTGTTCGATACATCATGCAAACGTAATTCCCGTTCTTCGATCTACCAGAAACTTCCGAGCAAGCGAAGATTACCCTAGAACATCCCGATTAACTCCACACGAGAAAACAAATTCACTGCAACAACCTAAATATAGCGAAGTGCTCCCCGTCACAAATATTTAACGCAGCCTTTCAAGCGATCTTTGTCCCAATTTAAACTGTGCGAAATTCGCTCCATCGGCTTCCATTCTGCGGGTTTTTTTCTTTTTTTTGCAGAACCAGATTTTTTTAATAACAAATTTTTTTGAGAAGTTTAGAGATTGTTTGAGATGAAAAATGTATTTGGCAGAGATTTGGCGCAATGAGAAGTTTGAAAGCGAAAAACAACATTCTGTTCTTGCTGATTCGTGTAACTGTTAAAGGAATGATTAGGGAGAGATAACTTATAAAACAGAAAGTGTCAAAGTTACAGAACAGGATTTTTCTTTTTTTCCAATTAGCGAAAATTGGTACTGCAGCGAAAAATTGTGAAATGTTTTTGTTCATATTTCCTGATGGAAGTCTTTTATTTTTTTTTTCATTTGCAGAATTCATTATTTAATTTTAGAGCAACAATGGCAAATGAAGCGAAAGAATTGCCTGAAAAGTTTATGGGAACTTTTAAGCTTAGTCGCAACGAAAATTTCGAAGAATTTTTGGCTTCAAAAGGCATGATTTGTTCGCCAATTTTTTCCGTTTTATGTTTTATTAACATTTGAGATTTCAGATCAAAAGAATATTCATTATACTTATTAAATGAATGGATTTATCAAGTTGTTTTTTTAATGTGACTTTCCAATATTGTATCGTGATGGCATATTTCTTGGAATTCATATATCTGCAGCTTTTTTATTAGGTGGACTTGAAATATGGATTTTTCAGGTATAAATTGGTTTTTAAGGAAAATAATCTCGTTTTCTTCTGTTACTAAAGTATTCAGCTACTCCGATGAAACCAAAGATGCCTATAATTTGTTCAATCAATCGTCTAAGAAAGATGTGATTTACAAAAACTGGAAACTAAAGGAAGAATTTGAGGCTGAAGGATTTGATGGCAAAATTCACAAAGTATGTTAAATACTTATAATTATTGCAGTAAATGAAAAGTCGTTTTTTTTAAGTGGTATTAAATTAATATTAATTTAATGATTTTTTACTATGATATTGTACAATAATATTTTTACTTATTGCTGATATGCGTTGAATAATTAGATTAGTAATAAATTTATAGAGAGCCTGAAATCCAGGGAGTGCTGTGTCTTCAATATTTTATATTTTTTGATCTTTGCATTTTTTCTAATTTAGAATTCCAACTCAATAAAATCTTATACATAATTCCAGGTCAAGTTCGACTTTGATCCAGTAACGGAAAGTTTAAAAGAGACACATATCCGAGTAGACGACCCAAACGATCATGGAGAGACGTACACTTACACTGTTGATGGTGACACTTTGTTGTTGGTAAGTGTTGGTTTCTTGGATTTTTCATTTCTTTTCTGCATTATCATTATTTTACGTACATTTAAACTTCTTATATGATGGCTGAGTGCCTATACGTATTGTGATGCAAAAAAATTAATTTGCATCGAAACTTAATTTAAACTTACTGCCTTAAAGTATATCATCTCTCGTTAATTTTCTGAGAGCACTAAAGTTTAGAAGAATCCTATCATCTGAGATTTTGTGCGTTTTATGCCTAATATCAACTTTGTAAATTATGATGAATATAAAAAAAAATTAAATGTGTGCAAAATTACTATGGTTTTGAAATGTTCTGACAGCTGCCATTGCTTCGTCGCTATAAATTATCATGCTGCCAACAGAAAAAAAACGAAATATAATCAGTATACTAAATGCCATCATATTCCGGCTCTTATATTTTTCTTTTTTATAGAGTATGGCAAATGAAAAAGCATCCTGCAAACTTTACTTCATTCGAAAATCATCTGGGCAGCAGCAATCATCTTCCTAGTTTGGTTGTGATTCGTAAAACAAAGATAGGCGATGAATATAAGTTATGAAAAATATTAAAAAGATTTAAATATATTTAAATCATTATGGTTTTGAAATGTTGTGCCAGCTGTCATTGCTTTGTCGCTATAAATTGTCATGTTGCTAATCGGAAGAGACGAAATATAGTTATTCTTTTTTTTCACTGTCTTGGAAGAAAAGCAAATTTTTTAAACAAATTTTTAATCTATTGTTTTTCATTCTCGTACATATTTATTCGTTATCCTGTCTTTTTGTTTGTATTCTCCCTATTTTACATTTTTCATCTTATAAAGATGAAGAAGTTTTTTACACTTTTTTATTTGTTTGTTTTTACAATTTATATTATTGTTTGTTTTCATAATTTATATTATTTCCTGTAAGAATTCATATATGTAGAAAAAAATAACGGATTGCTGTATCGTCCAGTCTTGTGTATACACAATTCTCTTAACTATTTCTATTACTGTTACAATCATTTGTATAATTAGTTAATAATGCATAATATTATATGCAGTTTTAATTGTAATTTTAGTTTCGATTCAAGTAGTTCAGTTTTATCTGAGCTTTTTATAAAATATATGTTGCGATGATCACATTTTCGAAGTTTGTAACTTCTTTTTAATTAATTCAATTTTCCAGCATTTGTTACAATCTCCCTCTCAAACATTCTTTTTCCGTTTTTATAAAGCGATTTAGATGTTCGTCTTGCCAAGTTCAAATTGAGAGATTTTGTTTTACGCTTCATAAAAACGGAAAAAAATTAAATATATAATTTTGGATTGAACAGATTATTCCACTTTAAGGGAAATTAAACATATAATATATATTTATATATTAATCATGAGAACACTTTAGTAATAGTGGGTGATCGAGTACATCTTTTGAAAAATTGGATTAAACAGATTATTCCTCTTTAAAATCCTTTCCATTTGACTAAATTTTTGGTTTAATAATATTCATAATATTACAACGAAAATAAAAGTAAATTAAAGTATTCTTTATCTTCATGATTATTAATAATAAATAATTGTAATAATAATAAATAATATCAAATAAATAATAACAATAATATGGATTGTAACTTGTGAAGTTTGAAAATAAATGAAACTGAAATCGCTGGAGAATTGAGTAGCATGGGATTAATAACTGATCGTTCGATCCCTCATTCAATACACAGAACATGTTGTTTGGAGCATCTCGTAATCCTTCCATTTTTTCCCTTAATAATATTGACCTGTTTAAGCAGATAACTTCGAGTGAAGTGGACGAAAAGTAAAATTCATCTGCATTTGCTGCTCTATATTGATCAGTTGACCTCATCATTAAATAAGCAGTTGGTCATTTCTTCATATTTAATCGAGTATCTTTGATCAATATAATCAAGATTTAGTTAGATTGTCGTTAACATTAGACTGTCCCATATATCTCTCATTAAAAAAAGAAGGGATTTTTACTTTTCGTCTGAGACTTATGTGTTTTATTTGTTGATGAGATGAATGAAGTCAATGAAATTAATACAAATACTTTCTTTTTGTATTTTCACTCAATTATAAGATAAATTCGTTATTGAAATCGTTGCACTACAGTGCAGCGTCTAAAATTTTAAAATGATTCTCAGCATAAATCAACAAAGGTTGGAATGGATGGATTTACTTTTTAAAATATTCAATGATAATTTTTGAAGTAAACTTGCTTAGTTCCAAACCACTCTTTTTAATTCAATTTTCGGTTGGTTAAATCGTTTCATGAACAGTTGATAATGTCAGGCAAGTACAACGCAGTGCCTTGAAAAACATATCATATGGAAAGTTCTAATGTAGCCATTTTTTGACGCTTATTCATGGAGAACTTTAAGGGTCATCGTGTTCATGCGATTCACAATTACTACGATTGTATTAAACGCAATCTTCGATTCGATAAAGTTAGTACTAAAAGTACTACATCTGATATACCAAAATACTTTCAGAAGAGGCTTTGGATATTTTAAAGTTGGGCGAGGTGAAAATTTTGAACAGTGTCTTGAGGTGAAAGGGCTGCAATCATATAGCCTGCATTTAATTAATTAAAAATTTTTTTTTCTCCCGAGAAATTGATATACATTTTCAAAACTTGATTTTGTTTAAGGTTATGGATGATTCATGCGACAAGAATCAATGTGGCTAGTGTCACAAAAGCATTTCGCAAAGCAGATTCTCAGAAACCGATTCATTAAGGTATGGAGAATCTAATGAGTAGAAATAATGCACTTTTTACTGACTGCACTTTGGGTGCAGAAGCTGTGATAGTGTGCAACACAAGGTAAAGATTCAATTATATCATTTTAGAGGTAGTTCAATGGCTAGCCCGTAATTTTAAAAACGGATTGAACTTCGCTTTAATATTTGAATACCTGAATCGCCAGATGAATAAATTTGTATTAATGAATTAAATTGTACGTTAGGCAAGGTTCCATTATGATGCTTATGATTTTTTAGCTAAGGCAAACATCATTGCCGAATAGCTAGAATGTTCTGAAAATTTGTAGAAAACATTGACCTGAAGGATCCAAACAATGTACTGGCAGAAATGCCTACCAAAACGGACGATCCAAATGATATCGAGACTTACGAATACCATCGAGATGATGATTACTTAATCATGGTAAGATTATCTGTTGCGTTTGAGTTAAAAGATTAAATACTTATTCTAGTGGTTAATCAACATTTATAAATATACTAATAATTATTTAACTATCTTTAACTAATATCTTTTAAAAAAAGCGATATTTTAGACAAATAACTACTCTATTGATTTGTTTTAGAAAATGATATATAAAGGAGTTTCGATAAATTGTTATCACAAGAAGCAATGATTTAATAATATTTTATCTCATCATTTTTTATTTAAATTTATTTTATTTTTTAATATTGCTTTCATATTAGGGAAATCCGTGTAAATCCATTTCAGACTTGTTTATTTTCTACGCTATATGTTTGCAACAGCTAGTGATAACAGAGGAAGAGTAAAAACCCTATCAAATAGGAAGCATAATTTGATCAGTCATTGGTGACGAGACAAGTAGGATTGTTACCCACTATTCATTGCAATCAACATAAGTTATTGATAAAAACATCACATTTTTGCTATGTGATAGTGACTGATAATAACGAATGTTGAAGTGATAAATAAAAATTTATCGGAGAAATAGGATTCAACGATAGAAGCAATTAAACATCTCAGCTGTAGTCTGATATTTTTTTAAATTGTAGCATTTAAGTGTAATAGATGCATTTTTGCCGAATCATAAATTTTCAAGAATCTTTTCCGACTTTTCTGCTACTATACTTTATCATACATCAATTACAATGATATTCATTAAATTGAAAATCTCATAATAAAATTAAACGGACCAAATCTCTATCAAATTTCAAATTAAACTTCACATCTTGATCATTGAATCAGAAAACTTCAGTAAAAATATACTATTTCCTATCACTTTTACTCATCTATTTTACACTATTGAATCAAATAGTATGTTTCAATGCAAAGCACAGATCAGTGATTAATGATAGGCAATATTTGCAAATGCCGAAGGTATGGATGAATTAAATTAAATTAGTGCAATTGTCAGCAAGCCAATCATCGAATTGTATTTTCCTTTGGCTTTAGTTCACTATAAAATTTAGCAAATTCCTTGTAGTAAGCAATTGATCTTTATTAATTTCACAATTGGCTCCATTCATTTATTGTTTCACATTGTTTAATCATTTATCATATCATTGATGTGTTTAATAAAAAGTTAGCTATGAAGTGTTTTTAGCGTTCTTCTCACAATTTATTCATTCCTTTATTCATAAACTATAACAAATTATATTACTGTCAGAAAATCGCATGCATCGATGAGAGATGCATTAAAATATGAAATTCTATTACATCAAATCAGGACGGGGTGCGGTTGCCCTCAATTAAAATCTCCCCAGCCCCTTCATACCTCTAGAAACGGTTCCTTTTCATTATTGCACATTTAAATGGTTGATTTGCAAAGAGTTCAATTTTTGATTGATTATTTCTAGACTGTACTACTACAAATATTTCCTTTCATTTTTTTTCTCCATTTATTCCTGAATTTGTTATTGAAACTTTTTTGTTTCATTTTGCTTATTAATTTTTGTTCATTAATTAATCTCTCCAAATTATTCTCACTTCATTATTGTTTTATTAATATTTTTCCTTCTCTTACGTTACAAAAATAAAGATCGCTTCGATGAATAAAAAGAGAAAATGATTTTACTTTAATTTACAAATCGATATTACATGTATTCATTTTAAAATATTTTTGTATTAATAATAATTTAGCCTTTCTAACAATCAGTGTGGATGTGTTTGCAAACAGAATGATCATTTTGTTACCACCCAGAAATGCCCTCAAGCGGAATGGTACAAATCAAAATTGGCTAATTTCTTTTTCCTTTTTTTGATCCTGAAATGACGCTGTTAAAAGAATTTCTTCTTTATTTTTTCTTTGTTATCATAAATATATAATAAAAGAAATTTATAAAAAATTAATTAAAAGAAAAAAAACAATAATTTTCTAGTGAAGAAACAATGATGTGAAGTGAGAAGATCACAAATCATACAGAGAATTAATAATTATTGAAATTATTTATAAATTCGCGCTGCTATTCTTATCAATCACAAGAAAACAGAACAACGAAGGAAATGAGGAGCTGTGTAAATCAGGTCAGCTCAGCTCAAACTTTCTAAATTCATTATTTTATATATGAAGTGCTGTGAGGATAAAATAGTAAAATAAAAGACTCAAAAATGTCCCGAAAGTTTTATGATTACTATCATTTCGGAAAGTTAATTCAAGACAATATATCGCTATCTTTATTTCATTCAGAACTATACATTTTTACCTTAATAACTAAGTAATAAGTTGATGTTGATATGAATACTTCATATTCAATTCTCAAATCTCCTAAATTCTTCTTTAGATTTCAAACAATTCAGTGTCAAGTAGTTTTAAGTGATATCAATTTTAATTGATAACCTTAAATTTGATTAATCAGGCCTAGATAAATTTATTCAATTATTGATGAATTATTGGATGCTATTAATGTTATTAATTAAAATTAATTCTTCTACATTGAAACCATTTAGAATTTGAAAATAAAAAGCGGACTATGTAGTATTAAATAAATTTGCAATATCATGAACTCCTGAATAATTCGTTCACAGCTCACCTCAGAATTAATAGATTTTCAGTAAAATAAATTGCTAATGGAATAACGCTAATGGAATGAATTGCTAATGGAATGCTAATAGAATTATTCCTCAATTTTCGTGTTAAACTTTTTCTTATATCCTCCTTTATGGAATATTTGAAATATCAACGATGCTTTTACAGGGCTATCACTCTATGAAGCCAAATTTCACATGGCTACCATCGTTATTGTTACTTACTCTCCCATGTTCATTTTCCGCTGATACCAAAAAATTGCCCAGTGTATTTTTTGGAAAATATACGCTCGAGAAATCTATTAATTTGGATGAGTATCTTACTGCACGAGGTTTGAAACACACATCTTAATATCTAACCTTTAGAATTAAATTCATCTGAATATCTGGCGTCTAGAATTAAATTCACCATGCGATACGAATCTTTACAATCAAAATAGCACTTATCTTCAACTGCACATGAATGAATATCAATTTGTTCTTTCGATATCAATTATTAATTTTGATATCGAAATAATAATGTAAATAGCATATCAGATCCTCTGTTAATATATTACTCTTTTAATTCGAACAGTTTAACTTCCATAATAAGCAATCATTAAATTATTAAGAAAAAGAAATATAATTATCTCAGGAATAAATCATATCGCGTATTTATTTGATCATAATGATCAAAAATTCAAATTACAGACATTTATATTTGTTGGAAATTTAAAAAAATTTTTCAGGCTACAAATGGTTTACACGTCGACTTATTTTAATAGCAAGTGTCACGAAGGTTATTCGTAAAGCAGCTTCAGGGTTACCTTCACGATACGATATGCAAACTCTAACATGGAAGAAAAATGTACTTTACACCGATTTTGTGCTTGGTACTTCCTTTCTATCTGATCACTTGGAGGATGGTTTATTCAATGTATGCTATTTAGATTATTGTCTCATTTTTACAGATGAACAAATAATTCAACCAATCGTTTTCCAACAGAATTTACAGCAAAAATTTCGTTACCTAATATTGTTAAGTACAATATTTCCATTTCATTTCTGTTTTAAGTTACTAAAATGAAACTTATTACCAAAACAAAGATGATCTATTTGTACAGTAGATTTGTAATATTCTGCTACAATATCACAAAAGCAACTTTACTCCTAAAATCATTTCATAGATTTATTTCTACAATTTTTCATCTTTCACACATTACCAATATTATCTACAATGCTTACTTCGAGGGGCAAAAAAAAAAAAACTACGGAAGGCATTAATATCATCATTACTTACCGCTAAATCCAGTTCAGATTCAGTATGCTTGATAGAAGAAATTAATAAATAAGTGATATTAATGATAAAAGAAGTAACGTGTAATTTATAGGTAACGATAGATACAATTAAGAATGGAACGGTGATGACGGAAAATGTGATACGTGTAGAAAATCCAGAAGATGATGAAATGTTTCAATATACCCGAGAAGATGATTATCTTATTATGGTATGTTTGACATTCCAATCGAGTTATTGAATACATTTCTTTTTAAATTGTAACATGATTATTTGCCTAAAAATTTAATCGATACTAAAAGGATGTGGTGGTAGCAAAATTTTTAAAAACAACTGTTTATTTTTATGCATCACTTATTCTGGAATGTTAACATGGCTATTTGGTCGTTGTAATGTTAGTCTAATGTCGAATTATTGAATTGATGAATTCGCTTAACTGGAAGTATTTCAGCGTACTACCTGGAAAGGCGTAAATGCAGCTGGTTTTTATCGGAAAGTATGCTCTTACGACATAAATAATTATCCTGAATTTTGTTAAATTTTAATTATTTGTTCAATTTTTTTCACTTACAGTCACATATCATAACATTGCAAGCGGGTTTCACATGTATTATTCCACCTCAAAATTTACAGGATTGATAAGGTGCGCCAATATGCCTAACTTTGTAAAAGTGATTAAACGGATATTTTAACGAAAAAAGGGTGTTGAGAATGATGATCATAACGTCTGAAGTGATAAGAATGGTATAAATTTCAAGTCAGAGTTCAGCCATCCAAATATCTTATATGACTGTCTTTCAAATAATTTGTTCTCATTTCGTTTCAGTGAGATTCTGAATTATTGTTGACCTCAATTTTCACTTATAATAATTAATCACTTATAATAAATTATAAAATTTTCCAAACATATATAATTGATAGTGTTAGATCTCGAGGTAATCAAATGTAAAGGTCTTCTAATCAAATTCTCGAGAAAACTATATAGAAATGTTAACCAATGAAATAAAAAAAATAATAGAAGACTAATTGAGTGTTATTTATCGAATTCGTTCTAAAAACATAGCTGAACTTTGAATATCTGCTTTTTGGTTCCAACTAATGAACATTTCAGAATCTCAACAACTTATCATCGAAATGATTTGAAATTATAATTTATATATGCCTTTTTCATTTGCAGAAAATCTCATCAAAGAATTTTTTCTCATATCCCAATTGAGCAGCATTTGTTATTCTTTCATAGATTTCATAAAAGCATCAATTAATTTTGAACATGCAGTAATTATTAAATTTTAATCGTTTCTCATACATTTGAAAAGAACCAATAACAATTAGTCATAGTCAGTGGCCTGTAATTCAGAATACAATACAGATTTCAGTTTACTAATTCACAGCACTCATCTTCGACTTATAAAAATATCACATTACTGGTTTTTTCGTTGACGTAAAGCTAATGAATATACAGTATACTTATGAATACAAGAACACAAATATTAATATCTCTTATCTTCTATGATGATGAGTCAATCATATTCTGTGCGCTAATGACTGCGTCATTCTCTCCTTGAGGAATTAAAGCAGATTGCCATTCATCATAATTATCATGGTTATCGCTTTTCTAAATGTGTCAATTGAAGTCGTTTTCAGCTTTTTTCATTATCGCCTCTATTTAATTGTAATTTTTGAACATTAGTACATGTCAATTTTGGTTTTGACAGTTAATTTAACTGGGGTCTGTTAGGGATAATCATTCGATAATCAATTATTCAATATTGTTATTATCGGAAGATCTCGTTATCATTTATGAGCATGCATCGGTTTAGTTATATCTTGAATTCTTATGATATATCTTCAGGTTTTTCCTTTATTTGTTATTTTATTAAAGTTTCAATAAAAATTTGAATATTTCGCTTTAACATAACAGGAAGAAAGTTGATGCCTTTTTATATTTCATTTCATACCTTCAGCTGTAAACAACACTGACGAATGCCCATAAATTAAATGGAATACATGGTCTCGCCATCACCTTTGCATTTGCAAAATGCCCTTAACCTTGCTACTTCAAATAATCTCTACCACTAATCCTTGTCCTCTTTCCGCATATATCCTTTTCATATACAGATGACTCATTAATTAGCTTTTATATTTTGATTGAATCAGTATAGTTGTGATGAGAATGACTAGTGATCAGAAATATCTTCTCGATGATCACTATTAATTCGTATAAATTTGCGATCCATAGATTAATGCTACTTATTATACGAATTAATTTTAGCATCGTTATTAAAAATGTCTTCATTTGATTCACTGATGCTTGGTGTCTTACTCTCTTATTTATGAATCAAAAAAAGAACTCGATCAAGCTCTAGTGAAGTAGAACTGTCGTAAATGTCGTATTTTGCGATTATTTATTACTGATATTTCGGATACAGATTATCCTGTAAAGATTGGTATCTAATGCAAAAACTTAGTTCGCAATAGAAATTATGCATTTTAAATACGATCGCCATAAGATAGTTGTATTTCGCTATGAAGAAGAATGAATTATATATTTTGATTTTACAACACATTTTTTTTTATTATTTGATATTAATATTCATTGCTTATCTAAAATTATGCTGAAATAATCAACATTTCAAATATGTTTTTGATATCAAAAATAGTACATGGCAGAGGATTGTTACAAGAACTTAAAGCTGAAACTGAAAGAAAAAATCGGTTCAGGTAGAGGCCGAAACAGAATCATCAGCCATGATTGTTCATCAAAATGTGTTAGTGATTCAAGCGGAAAAATTTATGAGTTTTGCAATTTATTTTAGATCCTCATTTCCGGGTTAAATGCGGTATTGTTGGAATTCTATGGAATAATTTTTGGTCAACGAGTCTCAAATTGAAATAAATCAATTGAATTGTAGCAGTGTATGGCGTAATGATGTGACTGGCTTGTAGTAAGTGAGAAAATAACGAATGAAAATAAGGCAAAAAATTACCAGTGACAATTGGATGTTCCAGATTGTTCTGTGAAAACCGTAAATTCTTTTTGTTTTATTTGAAAATGCAATTGAATCTCACGTATCGCTCATATCTTCCCAAATTCAGATAAAGGTATGAATTCCTGATATATCTCTTCACATCATTTCCGTTTGAATATGATATTTGAAATCATTTTTTAAATTCTATAGTCTCTTAGCTTAAAATTTTAGCCGACAAAAAGAAAAAAACTCCAACAGCTTGTCTTCAAACTTACTTCATTACATTGTCTTCTGCAAAATTTTACGCAGATTTATCCTAACCGTTGAAATATCACTAATATTGTGTAATTTTTGCGGATTTTTACAGATCAAAAAGAAAATGACATTATCACATTTTAGCACATCGACTGGGATAACGATGATATCTTTTACAAATTTGATTTTGTCAAGTTAATGATAAGTTACATCAAACGATTCATATGCTTGATAATGGATGGATTGTCGATTAGTTATTTATTCAGTTAGTGATGTCCGGAAATATTATAAAACAATTATTGTATCTAAATAATCGAAGTACTTGTATTCTAGAAAATTATTCTAAATTTATTGTTTTAGGTTTAATTCACATTAAATTCACATTATAGAGATTACTTATAAATACGTTAATTTGTCTCAAATATTAAAACGAATACTTTGTCATTTTGTTTGCTTGTTCATTTTGCTTTAATGTTAAATAAAGATATGTATTAAAATGAACTTAAACAAGCAAATTCATAACTTCCCAATTTAGGAAGTTTCGACAGGTAAATCGAGCTTCATTTATTTATTCTATTCATTACTTTACTCCTTCTTTCTGATTTTTGATATACTATAACGGTGTCTACTCAGTCCCAAATAAATGTTTACAACTCTTTTTGCATGGCTCACTTCCAGAAACTCTAGGCTTGTAATGCAAATTGGAGCACTTATATACTTGCTATCCTAAGAGTATGCGAAAGTAAATCGATTAGCATTCATTTTAAGCAGCAATATCATATGATTTAGTTTCATAACAATTCAAATGAAATTTTTTGAATATATTGGATTCTCAATTATATCTTGTTAAATTAATAAAGTTATTTAAAAATCATTTGGAAGAAATCAGTAAATAAAAGGTGTGAAAGATAACATAAGCATTAAACAGCATCAGATTGTATTTCAGATTGTCATACTCTTATATGATGATGCTGGAGTGAATTTTATCCGGATATACATATCAGTTCGTGCAGAAAACAGAAGACTGATAATTAATTCCTTCAGCTATATTAAATTTGCCGGAATTATTATTGGAATTGAGAGCAAGCATCCGGTTACAAATTTAAAGTTCCATACTATCTTCCAGGAGATTTCGTCAAAATTCTTTAGCGATTTAGGCTTTTGAGAGACTTCTGCAATCTATGTAAAAAAGTATCCGTTCAACATTCAACCTCTGGCTATGGTTATATAGCCTGTTTGTGATGTATGCAAAACACCCATTCCAATTTCAATTATTGAAAATCCTTAATCATAGTTCACATTACTCATAGGCAGGCGAATTAAACCAACAATCAGCTCAAGTATACTTCACTTCTAACAAACTGTACCATTCCTTCTCTTTTCAATTTTTCTTTACCGTTCACTTTTTCATCATTTCTTTCGTCATTGAATTTTAGTCGGGAACAAACTATTCCGCTATAATTATATTAGCAAGTCAAATACATTACATTCTTCTATTAGCAAAATGCTCATTCGATTTTCTTTTATTTTCAACTTTGTGGCTAACATTAGCATTGCTATTATCATATTTCTAAGTTATCTTCAAAATGGTCACTTCTTCTCTTTATTTATAAGCATTAAATTTAAACATAAATTCATTTTATTTGTTTTAATTACATTTACCTACCTATATTTAGATTTATTCCTAAATTCGATATTTTGATTTCTTCACTGAAAAAGAAATATGAGATTTATAATGAATTCCTTATTTGCTTTAATGTTTGATCGAAAAAAAGGAGAAATGCGAGAATGAGGTTATTACTGAAAGAGTTGCAAGTGACAGGTGAATTTTTTAATTTGTTTTAGGGAAGTTATTTGATATGAAAATATAAAAATATAAAGGTAAGCTTAAGTCACCGTTTGTTTATTCATTTTATTATAAATAAATGCATTAATTTAAAAATTATATAGTAATTTCAGTTTTTCGTTTTCTGATCATTTATTTCTTAATTTTGTTGTTTTAATTCGTTTTTCTTACTTTCTCTATCTCAATAAAATAATAATATTTCATTATATTAATAATTGATTAGTGAAAAAAAGAAATTATAATAGATTTGAATGAAATAAATTAGTATCCGTTTCTATCGATCTTATTTTATCTTTTATATAAAAGAATATATTTTCCTAAAACGTTATAATATGCATTTTTTTACGTTTCAATGCATTTGGAAAGCTTTTATTTGCGCTTATTATTCTCTCTTATCCTCCGATATATAAATATAATTTCAATGATTTCGACCTAAATAATGTCAGGCAAAAAATTATCGATTGTAAT